GGGACCCTTACGGCTGGTTATCTGCTTTCACTGTCAGAGAAGGAAGTGCAGATTGAGGCTGTACACTAACGGCAGGGTTTTATGCGGTCACAGGGGGAAAAGGAGATCACACAGCATGTGTGCAGGCAAGCTCGGGAGGCAGAGATGAAGCAGTGCAGCTGCTATTTGCGGGGACTCTGGCCAGCTGATCAGGAGAGGCATGGGCTTTGCTCTGATGGTGCGATTCCTCCAGACGGTGGACCCCTGCGCTAAGGATAGGCCGCAGGGATTTTAGACGCTCACTCCCGTTTTTTCAGCCCTTATGGAAACCGGTCAAGGGACTCACTTGCATGCCGATGTAATTTAGTTTATACATCAATCTGCAGTGGGAGGCATTCCACTTATGGGAATTTGAGTTCTTCTGACATTAAGACCAAGCACAAACTGGCCACACATGGAGGTAGCATGACCTGCACCCCCTTTGCCAAAGCACCTTAGTCGTGGCCTGCCTTACTCCCTGATATTCTAGTTCTGGCCCCTCCCTACACGGCTCTGGGAATGCACCTCCCTCGTACCTGGCAGCCCCCCTGCTATTCCAGCCCAGGGGCCCACACAGCCCAATCCTGACCTGCAGCCTTTTCTATTACTCTAGTCCTGCCCTCATCCCTAGCTCTGCCAATTCACCGCAGTCCTGGGACCAGTACAGATTCTAACAGCCCTTTAGTCCTGAACTGCAGCTTTTCTCGAGTCTCGGGGCAGAGAGCCGACTGTGCCAAGCTCCTTCATATTCTGGCCACCATATAACTCATGCAAGACTAGTAAGCGCATGCCCCAGCAACTGTTTTGGAGGAGAGTTCACCGGGATCCCCTCATTCTACTCAGTATTTGGGTGACGTTCTTTTCCCTGCCAAGGAAGGCTGGATGCAGCTCCCTCCTGACCATTTGAAAACACTTTTTCTATCATCTGGGAAACAAACTGCATAGCAATAGAAGCTGTTTATAGCCACTGCTGGTATGGGATCTCTGGATCCCTTCACACCAATGTGGTACAAACCACATGGCTGACCCATTCACTATGACAGCAGAATCCTGATTCTCCAAACCACCTGGGTAACAGCAATTATTATTGTTATTTACTTGCAGTTGCACCTACAACTTGAGGGGCACCTGTCAGACATACAGGAAAGGGAAGGCCGCTGCCCCAAGGAGCCCACAGTCTAAGACAAACAGACAAGTAGACTGATGTCAGGGATAGGGAATATTTGTGCTAAGATAAGGGCGAGTTTGACAGATTGGGAATTTAGGCTCTGAGGGAAGCCCTCATTAAGCTTGGGCTACACGCGGGTAGCTTGACAAACAGGGTGGTTCAAATCATCAGTCTGTTAAATCAAGATCCCCTTGCAATTAACGTCAGATCGGAACCCACAGCTCCAAACGCGAAAGACATTAAAGTCAATGAATCTTCAAACCGCATGGCTTATTTAAACTGTTTCCTGCCCTAAATACTGACACATAGGATGTAATATCAACATGAAAGTACACAGTCCATCAGCAACCCCAAGTCCAGCCAACGCACTTCAGCCCTCACCCAAGGGACAAGAGGAGCCCAGCCAGGCTGAAGAACTGGAAGCTACAGAGTGCAGTAAAAAGCATCTGTTTTTTCACTGAGCTGATCTGGTGTGAATTTACACAAGCAGCTCCCAAGTGAAGCCCTGACCTCTCCAGCCAACCGATCTCTTTGCCCAACCCACACCTTAAACCATGTCATATTCTAGCTAGAGCTTTGCTAACTCAGTGAAATTAAATGAGTGATTTCCAGCTATGAGTTTGTTACAGTTTCAAAAGGAAGAGAAGACTGCATGATCCCAACTTTGCCATAAGCAGGGAGATCTGGATGATAGAATCACCCCTTGAGATGGTTACTCTTAATGTAGCTAATAGAAACCTCATATCGCTGGACTACAGAATGGAGATTTTATGACACATGTGCCTCTGATTACAATATATTACCGTTAATATAATGCCTTCTTTCTACTTATCTGTGTCTTTGGCTAATAAACTATAGAAGACCACCAGTGAAGAAGTAATAAAGCACAGCTGTTGAATCAAAGCCTGTTTCTAGGTCAAAGCGAGTTTGGGAGAGGCCAGGGAGAATGGGCTCTACCAGGGGAAACAATACTGAACTGAAACGAGAAGAGGATCCTCCAGGCAGCTTTAATTAATCTTTAGTTTTATCCCAGAAATGTTACTGGAGTTCTCAGCAAGCAGGCCAAGAAGAGGATGCAAGTCTGCATTTCCATAGTGCATCTCATTATTAGCCAAATGAACTCCCAAGGCTCTTTATCTTACATATGCACGTACTTGCACTTGTGCATACTTAGAGATAGGGAGAGGAGACGAGTCATTCCTGGTCACCCCTGAAATGCAGCCGCCACAGTCATGAAACAGGAGCTGTTTTAGAATGCACTGTAACAGTGCTCAACGGACAAGGGCAGGAAATGAAAAATGTCACATCCAAGTACCAGGGAAACTGAAGGAGACAAAAACAAATCACCAGAGCTGGAATATGTAGTCAGGACACTGGGGTAAACCACCGTCAATCCTACAAAAGTGCTTTAATGCCAAGTGGTCAGGAATTGCGTTTTACATCTCATCACCACACAGAGCTCAGCACCACGACCCTGGGGGCGAAAGGAAGAACGTCAGCTGAATCACCAACACTGTTTTCAGTGCGATTCTGGGATTTCCCTAGACCTCTTGCACCCAAATAAGGACTTGGCCTGAATCTACTTAGCCTGAAAGATGGCTACCCCAGAACTCAAGATGGGATGGAAGGGATGGATCTTCCTTGTGTGCATACATGATTATTTATGATTTGCAGTACTGGAGCGCCTAGGAGCCCCAGCCCCAGATCGGAACCCCACTGTGCTGGGGGCTGTGCACAGATATAAAAAAGACAGTCCCATGGAAACCCCACCTGGCTAGTTTACGCTAAGATCTATTTCTTGACAATTAAATGAGATGGTTTTAATAGAATGCCAGAACACAAAGTTGCTGTATCTTTCATGCTGAGGACTATCTACCTAATAAGCAACACAATTCCACCATAGAAGGTTTGTTTTTTTTAATAATCAAGGATATTTGGTTATAGTGTAAACCACAAAAGCAAAACTCAAGTCACCATGTCCCCCCACAATAAAAATCCAGGGCAACTCTATGCACTGAGTGGTATATGTTGGTTTACCCTCAGACTTGGGATTAAACAACAACAAGCAAAAAAACAACAACCACCAAAACCCCAGATGTCAAATGTAAACTAAAATTGTTATTCAGCAATTTGCATCACTTACTGTCTTATTAAAGTCAAATGATTTTCCTTTCTCTCTCTCTCTCTCTCTCTTTCCGTTCTTGTAACAAAATAAAGAATCGAGGGACTTCTGAAGACATTTTGCTGCACTAAATGAAATTCTCCTTTTAACTTTTAGGGATATAGTCTCACTTACAACTCCTGCCAGTGCTGGTGGGACTTGCACAGAAATGAACATTTAAGAGTTCCATGGATGACAAGATCCCTACAGAGACGATGCATCAGTGGGTTATGACACACTGTAAGACACATGGTAACTTCTTGCCGTTAGCAAAGTGTGGCGGGAATGCCGTGATCCTGCAACAGGGGCGGTGGTATTCTCAGTGTAAAGGCACCAAAATGTCAAGTAAACGTGACTGCAGACTAGTGCTTTCAGCATCTCATCTTGGACTGACTGAAGCCAATGGAAGTTCTGGCATTGACTTTAGTGGGTACAGGATCAGGCCTGAGAAAAGCAAACAACTCCTAGGGAGCCCAGCTTTTTCATGTAAGCTCTACAGCTCATGGAAAGAAACCACACCAAATTCAACCCCCACGCCTGGCAGCAGAGGGTCAGGTGACTCATGGTCTGATCCTCATGGGATCCTTCCCCCCCCTACAAAGGAAACTGTCTATAGAAAATAAGTCAGTGGGTGGCTTCTATGCCAATGAATTCATTATTAGACCTCTGCCTCCATGGTGAGCACCAAACACTGACTCAATGCCAAAATCCCCATGGAAATCCACCTGCCCTGCTAAGGCTCGATGGGATGCTTTCGCAGAGCTTCACAGATTCAGTTCCCTCAAGGCTTTTATCTGTCTGTGATACGTCATGCCATCAATATTTATTTGTAAGGTCTTTACTTCCTAGCTTCTTCTTGAATAAAGTTCAGGGACACTGGCCTGAAATTTATGTTTTGAAAAAATGCCTTTCACTAAAATTAAGAGGAACAAAATATTTCTGAAAATTCCCTTTTTTACATTTACAAAGGAAATGTTCACCTCTAGCATCTGCAGCCCCAAACCAGCAGCAATGCATTAGACTGTATTATATTCGAGGGGCAGCCGTGTCAGTCTGGATCTGTGAAAGCGGCAAAGAGTCCTGTGGCACCTTACGGACTAACAGACGTATTGGCGCATAAACTTTTGTGGGTGAATACCCACTTCTTCAGATGCATGCTTCTTTAGACTGCATTGCAACTTCCTACGGACCAGAGACTGAAATGGATTAGAAATCAAATGACACTGACTTGTCCATTGTCCTCCTTCAAGCCCAGAAAAATGTAGCAAGTAACCAACAGCATAGGTGGAGACAGGCTGGATGTTTTAAGTGCTTTCAAGTTTTTCATAACTTCAGGTGTTCTGTGAAACACAGTTAAGTGCATTTGGCAGATTGAAGTACAAAGTCAGGAACAAAGAGATTTGGGCTCTTTTTCCAGCTGTGCCACAGGCTAACAGCCTGGACCTGGTCAAATCATTTAACCTCCCTGTGCCTCAGTTTTCTCACTGTAAAATAGGGATGATACCTTCTTGTATGGAGGCTGTGACAGATTATTTGATTTTGGAAGGACTATGATTTTAAACCCGACACTGTCCCTTTAAATGATGCACGTCTCTCAGGGACATGGCTACTGAGAGCACGTGATTCTGCGCATAGGAAAATGCTGCTACTCACTTTTTCAAGGGCTCTATCACCGTCTTTTGGATCTGGTTCACCTATTGGAAGAAAAGAGAGTGACAAACAAATGTTGTTGAAGAAGCCGCTTTGAACTAAGTTATACATTTGTGCAGCGTCTTCCACACCAGGGCTCAGGCCTCGAGGTGCTACCAGAGTACAAATGAACAACAACGTCATCATCTTCATCAAATCCTCACCCCACAACCTCCTGTGCTCTGGTCCTGTGCTCCCAAACCAGCAAAGACGGGAAGTGCTGTGAGGGCAGCACTCTGGGTCCACAGTGGAGTGGGCATGAAAGAAAGCACCTCATGTTACGCCGTAGAACTCTTTCTAGTCAGTTTAAGGCAGGGATCTCAAACTCAAATGATCACGAGGGCCACATGAGGACGAGTACGTTGGCCCGAGGGCTGCATCACTGACCCCCTTCCCGCTGCCCCCACTCCACCCCTTCCATGAGGCCCCGCCCCTGTCCCGCCTCGTCCCACCCCAACTCCGCCCCCTCCCTGCCCCAATTCCAACCCCTTCCCCAAATCCTCACCCCTGCCCCACCTCTTCTCCGCCTCCTCCCCTGAGCGCACAACTCCCCGCTCCTCCCCCCTCCCTCCTGAAAAGCGCTAAGTGCCGCCAAACAGCTGTTTGGCCACAGGAAGCACCTGGAGGTAGGCAGAGGAGCAGGGACGCGGTGCGCTGGGTGGGAGGTGGGCGGTGGGGAAGGGGAGCGTGGTGGCCCCAGGAAATACTTGCGGGGGGGCGGGGGAGCTTGGTGGGCTGCAGCAAATAACTCCACGGGCTGCCGTGTGTTTGAGACCCTGGTTGAAGGACTAGCCCTGATTGACTCCAGGTGGAGGCACATGTATCTCCTCTCATCTGAAGTGTCCCAGGATATGATAAATTAATCTGGGGGCCCTGCTAGGGTGAGAGAAGAAATGGAAGGGGTAGAGGAGAGTTCACCTATATGGAGCAGACACACACACAGAGAGCACAAGTTCCCATCCCCGCCTCCTCCCCACTTCAGTAAAACCCACGCTCACCTTCTCTTGGTTGAAAGAGTCCATTCTCTTCATGGCAGTGTCCAGGGCTGTTACCATCGCTAGGAAATTGGGGTCTTGCTCACAGAGCGGGTTGGACAACAGGTCTGAAGAGATTTTCACGGCTGATTTCGACATGGCTGCAGTACGATGAGACCCAAGAGCATGCAAAAGAAGAAGAGAAGGTCTGTCAGTGACACAGAGTTGCATAACAGGACAGGCACTTGCAAAATAATCCAACTTTGCTCGAATTAATTCATTATCGCAGTTCTACAAAATACGGTCTGGGACACAAACCTAAATCTTCAGCCATTAAGGCAGTGAGTTCGGCACCTAAACTTTCCAGGGACACAAGTTGAAGGCTAAGAGAGAAGATAAAGAGAGAGGTACTGATTTTTTCATATAAACACAGAGAGAATAGTTTTTATACAGCTTAAGTGTGGACCATTTAAATGCAAGATGTGATGCTGCCAGAAATAATACCAGACTAACAAAAGCATAACTTTCTTTTAAAAGTAATGTACATGGCTTTTTTGACTTTTTTTTTATACGTCTGCCTTTTTTTAACAGACTATAAAGCATTGCTCTGTCTCATTGTAGCTCCTCCACAATGAGAAAAAGTACAGTCCATTAAGTCTTCCAAAAAAGCTTTACAAAGATACGTACTTTAAGTGGATTTAGTGCTGGGGGAAAGGGGCCAGACTGACAGGGTTGGAGAAGGAAGATCTTTATTCGCCTGCAAAACAGGTACAGCGTGAGCAGTAGTAGTGCAAGCTTGTCACCAATGGAGCCTGAGTTTTCTTCCAGAGGGAACCATTTCCACCCCTCCACAGGCAAAGACCTCTCTGCTGAGACTGCCAACAAGAGGGCCAGCTGCTTTGGCAGTTGTGAACTGGCCACTTGGCCACTGGAGAGTCACAGAATTTAAGGCTAGAAGGGACCCCCGGGACCACCACTGAACTCAGATGCAACTTTCATTTAATCAAGCCCCTTTTGCTCTCTTTCAGATTTACAAGCATCTCTTCTTTTCTATCCGATCAACTGGCCTCATTTTTTCAACGAAGAAAATTCAGGACGAAGACCCTGCAGTGGGTCATCCCCACACACACCACTGTAGAAGGATAAGATGCGAGACCAATGAAGAGTTTGTACGGCAATAGGCTGAACGACATTCAGAGTAAAATAACTGGAATATAACGTAGGAAGATGAATAAAACGGAAGAGCCAATATGTAAGTAAAAATAGTGTAGCTATCCAGAAATCTCTGTCTCTTTTCCCAGTAATGTTGCTGTAAGTTATTTCAGTTAAGGATCTGAAGGCCGGAGTCTTTTGTACAGTAGCTCAGAGGAGCTTTTTCAAGACTATCACTGTACAAACTTTTAATGTCTGAATTAAAGTCATCCTCAATATTGGGGCTTAAGATCACAATTTCAAGAGATTAAATGCTCTGATTTAAAGGTTATACACAATTATACAGAAAGCTCAGAATTCAGCTCAGTCCAGAGTGAGACACTCACTATGGAATAACAAAGCTACTGTGTCTGACTATATTCAAACATTAAGGGTTTAAACATTTAAACCTTTAGGCAGATGGGACAGAAACCTCATGTGAGACCACATCTGAGGAAGAATTTGTACCAAAATAGGACTGGGCTAAAAAACGTAGAACTCTTTAGGGGGAAGAGAAATTACTATGTGCCCCCAAAATGCAGGCAGCTGGGACTTAATACAATTAGGACAGTGAGTGATGGCAGGCAATGGTCAGACAGATTCTCAGAGGCTGGGAATCAAGATTCCTGGGTTCTAGTCCCTACTCTGCCATTGATTTGCTGTGTGACTTTGCGCAAGTCATTTCTCTCCTCTCTGTGCCACCGTGTCTCCATCTGTACAACAGGGGGAAGGAGGAGGCTTGGAGGAGGAATTGGTTAAATGTTTGCACAGTACTTTGCAAATATAAAGTGCTGAGTATTATTAATATTAGAAAAAGTGACCTTCGGTTATCGCTGGTTATTCAAAGCAAGATAAAGCTACCATTTTATAATTAAGGGAACAAGTGATGGAAATGCTGAGTGACCCTTAACCACAGCACAGCAAGTGTTGCAAATAATTCTTATTGAGGTTTGGATCACCTTTCCCAGCCATGTTGCTAAAGCTGGCAAGGCAGCATCCAAGTCTTCCAGGAAAACTTATGCACCTGAGAAAGCGTCCGCTTATTTCAGAGTGCGTATCTATTGTTGGCAGAACATGGAGGCTCGATCCAGGGATGATTAGATCAAACGTGCTAGCGAATGTTTACGGTCCGACTGAACGATCAACCCCCTCGACGCTCAGAAACAATGGAAGAAATAAGACACGAGGAAGAATAGCAGCAGAGCTGATGCACTGCCAGACTTCTGCTGGACATGGAAACTACACATTAGCTAACTACAGTTATCTCTTCATCTCTCTGTTACTCAGATATTGCAGGGCGAGGGAAGCCTCCAGAGGTCCCGAATGCCTGTTCACGCATTTGTCCTCCGTCCTCTGTGGTCTGGGACACTCTCTATTCACTGGCACCCAGTTTAAAATTCTCCCCTTATTCAGGATTTCATGCCTTTAATGAGAAATCAGCTCATACCGGATCTGGCCAGGGCCTGGGCTAATTTACAACTCTGCCATGAAGCAGAACGGAAAAGGAGAGTCCTCCCACAGCTCCTCTGGGGCTTGAAATGCTCCATATAAAAACACCCACTGAAAGGGAGGGGAGGGGAATCCTTTACAAGGAAAAACTTGCCAGAGGAGCCCTGATAATGAACAATGTCCCAGGGAGAGAAGCTTTCACCTTGGAAGGAGTTTTTTCTTGCAGCATTTGTTGTTCATGTCTATGACGGTGCTGTGTATGTAGCTATGTATCCCCCTGCCCTCCTGCTGGCAGGCAGCAAAATGTGGGTTCTTTTCAGCATACCTCTCTCTTCATAAATCAAGTCACCATGAGGTGCTTGTGGAGATTGGACCAGCCCTCACCTGCCTATTCATGTAATTTGCCTTGGCTCCAACGCCCAGTGGGCCAATAAAAATAGAGACTGCTCCAAACTCTGTGCTGCAAAAAAGCCATCTCTGTTTAAAACAGCTCTTTTCTGCATGTTCCAGAAGGCTGCTCAGCTCGCTTCAGTAACTGGAAATCACTAATCTCCACTTCCCCCAGTGTCTCTTCCTTCAGATTGTCTAGTCTTTTCATCTTACCCATGTTTGTTAAAACCCTGTATTGTGTGATGCGGTCAGATTGGGTTCCTATTGGAGAAACTGCTAAGTGAGTAGGCAGGACCCCATGTGCAGGAGGGACGCACACCTGCACAGCAGATGTCACTCTCTGAACTTGCAGAAGCAAACAGCTGGGGCAGTGACATGAAGAGACTACTTGTTTATTGCTTCCTACGTAGCCCACTGCAGCCAAACCAAGCCAACTATAAGGCAGAACTTGCAGGGTTACTCTTACAGGTGAGCCATTAAGTTGGCAAAGTTAATGAAATACAAACACTTAGCACTTACACAGTGCTTTACAATGTCTCTCGCTAAGTGAGGATACAGTGACCAACCCAAGGGGGCCTCGTTCTCAGCTGGGCCCTTCAGGCGCTACCCTAATACAAATAAGAATTATCCCAAATTTTCAAAGGCAGAAACTGAGCCACAGAGAGGTGAAGAGACTTGGCCAAGGCCACACAGCAAGCTAGGGTTCAGGAGAATGAGGTTCTATTCTTGGCTCAGCCAATGGACTCACAATATGACTCTGGGTAATTAATATTTAGGAGCCCCCAAGAGGACTGTCTTGTAGTTAAGGGACTGAACTGGAAGGCAAGCGACCTGGGTTGAGTCTCCAGCTCTGTCACAGGCTTCTTGGGACCCTGAGAAAGTCACTTACTCTTTCAATGCCCTGATTCCCAATCTGTGAACCACATTCTTACATACCCACATCTGCATCTGTGCTCTTCTTCATGTCCTTCTGCAGTTTCTTGGTCTGATCTTCCAGCCTGAAATAGGAAAGAGTAAGACTAACTTCTGAATCTTTAAAAAATAAACAAACATATACATGAGAACTATGCCAACAGGCCAGCTGGTAGTTAAAAGGCAACTGGACACGTTTCTATTATGTATAATGCTGTTTGACCATATAACTAATTTCAAGTGACCTCCCACATCTCCAGATGACCCTTATGTTAACTATAAAAGTAAGAGTAAAAACGTATCAGATATAGGTCCATACAATATAACAGTTACAACAACTACAACATTAGATCTTACAAACTTGGATGGTTTTGGACTCCTTGAAGATATTCTGGAAATTTTATTTTCTGTGCTTTAGAATTGTAATAAAACTGTCAATACCTCATGACCCCACTACGGGTTGCGACCCACTGACTGAGAAACACCGATCTAAACCACCTCGAAATTACAATGCACTAAGCAGGAGAACAACAAGCTGCTAACAGAGCATTAGGCAAGCAACACAAGGAAAGATGGAACGAGACTGAGTTGTGTGAAAAGCAGATCCATGGTCATCTCCAAACTGGTTAACACTTACTGCTGAAGTTTCCCATATTCCCTTTCAAAGTCTTTCTCCACCTGGGGGAACGAGAAAGAGAAACCACGTCAGCTCAAATGCATGAGAGCACAGTTCAAAAAAATCCACCCAACCCCCTGTCCTCCCAACGGAAAGTACGAACTTGATCTGCAAGTATCAACAGATACATGTCAAGCTATTGCTATTTACATAGTGTCAACAGCATGCTAGGCACTTTAGAAAACAAACATGAGGACAACAGGTAACATTTTCAAAAGCACCTAAGCCCCATTTTTAAAAGAGATGTAGGCACTTAGGAGCCCTAAGGCCTAGTCGGTACTTAAAATTTAGATCAACCTAGTTACATCACTCATGGGTGGTAAAAATTCACACCTTTGAGAGCCGTTGTTAAGCAGATCTAGTCCCTGGTGTAGACATGGCTAGGTCAACAGAATTCTGCTGTCAACCCAGCTGCTGCCGCTTGGGAAAGTGGGTTATTTATATACATGGAAAAACCCTTTCCATTGATGTAGGAAGCATCTAAAATACAGTGCTTCAGTAGCACAGCTGCAGTGTGCCACTGTAGTGCCCGTAGCATAGACATGGGCTAAGTCTCACTGGACTTCTAAATCACCTGGATGCTTTTGAAAATTTTACCCAAGGTTCCTGCCCTGCTGATATAACAATCTAAATTCAGAGCTTGTTTAGCTTGTAAACTACATAAGATCCAAATAAGATCTGAGGCCTAAAACCTTCAAAGTATTTGGAGTATTAAACAACAAAACAAAACTTTTGACTTTCGGTGGTTCCTCCTAATTTAGTTGCAAACCGATCACTGGGATTTCAGATCAGGAAACATCATGAGTCTTCCTACACCAGCAACATTCTCAAGTTCTGAGTTTCATTCTAAGGCACCCGGGGAACTGTCGAAAGGTGGTGATATGAGTGTAGTGTATTCTGTGTAGTGAAATTTGTCTTCAAGAAATACCCAATGGACCCAAGTAAGTGGGTGCTTTAGCTTCTCCCAAAAGTAGAAGCAACACCCGGGGTTTCTGTTACTAGACAGACCACACCATTTTAGAGCATTGCCACCCGCTATGTCAGTTCATTCTGAGGACATGCTATGGCACACGAACTGGAAACTGACAAAATAAATGGAGCCATTCCAAAAGCACACAAAGGTGGCAGCCGAGCAGGTATAAAGACACATGAACACACATGCATCCGCTTTACACAGCCCTGCTCAGTGTTTCAGAAGAGGAGCATGTCATATGAGAAATGTTTCTGCTCGGGGGTCCAGAAACACTGTGTGCACACGTTCACCCATGGTAATGGAGAATGAGATTGGGGGCATGCCTCTCTCTCTTCCGACATCAAATTTAAAGCACTCCACACTGCCCTTTGCAAATTATTAAGTATCTGTCTTCTCTGCATGCAACTGTTTTGGATTTCTAGGTCACCAATATTGGTTCTTCAGGCTTCAGTAACAGGTATTCTGGGCTTCCTCCTCCTTTCCCCTTCTGATTTGCCTCTGTGATGTGCCCCAGCACTCCTCCCAACTCCCATTCTAATCCATAGGTTCTAATCCACCACAGAATCCGGACTGCTCCAAGCCTTAGACCTGAAACTGGCTTTGAAGCAGTTCAAGCTCCACAAGAGACTGCACAACTGAAGGGGCGGCAGTGGCTACTGGCTGCTACAGCTGAGTTCTTAGATTAACTACTGTGGTTGTCCCAAAGGACTGGAAATTTTGTATTTTAGCACTTCTTTTCTGATCACTTCCTATGAAACTATACGTTCTCTGCACCATACCCTCTGTCTCCATCAGCTCAGGTAACCAAAGGCCCCTTTCTAAACCTCAAGATATCACTGGGTCTCCATGCCCCCCCCAGATTCTAATACATGACCCTATTACACAGAAATCCACCAAATCATGGGGTGACGAGTAAACAATTTTATTATTTTAATTACAGTAACATTCTCAGTGTGCTGGGCACTTTCCAAAGAGATGAAGATAGAGTAACTGCCCCAAAGAGTATACAAGTAAAAAAAAAAAAAAAAAATCACCCAAGCAGAGACGTATTCTCCGAATATGACATCAATTACTTCCTATTCCAACCTGCTGCCTGACAGAAAACCTCCGATGAGATACGATACTCCACGGTGCTCTCATTCCAGGTGGACTGTTTTAACACATACTTTCCACATTCGTTCCACATCTTATCAACCAAATAAAGCACATGGATTTCAACTGACCAGCCAAGAGTAAACATGTACTTTTGTTGTCATGGGATCAAAACTGGGTTCTTTTTTGTGGTTAAGCTGCCACGCTATTAAACAAGCAGTGAAGTGTTGCGCTCAGCCAAGACTAGAATGAACCAGAGTATTTTTTTTTAAAATGCACTCCATGCTGCTCCAGGCATTCGAGACTGAGACTCACAGCAGCAAAATATAGCTAAAGAAACAACAACATTTAATAAAATTCCCCCTTGGTTTTCAATTCCAATTGCTCTAAGGCCAACGTTTTAAAGTGGAGACCTACAGGTGTAAATGTCACCCTCAGTTTTTGCAATCCCTCTTTCTTAAATATCTTCTTAGTTTGCAGGTTCAAATCCACCCAAAGTCAGTCGTGACAGACTCACTGCAATCTGATGGCTGTTTGGTGGATAGTGAGTTTGGTGAGCTTCAGTCAAATTCCAAGGGGACACGTGTCCAGACCAACAGAGACCACTACTGCCGGCACCCACGCTGGCTGTCTCTGTAGACCGAAAAGCTCCACAGAGACTGATCTCCCTTTCTCACTGCTAAAATTGGTCCCTCCAGGACAGGGTGGATCAATGAGGGGGCAGCTTGCATAGCCAATGCCTGGTTCACAGCTCTGCAAAAATCCACGACAGCTGGTGGCTTCAGGTCAGGTAACCAGCACATAGTAAAATCACCCTATGTTTCTATGGTTGTTCCGGCTGTAAAAATAACCCCAGACTATTGCATTCTATTTATATGTTTATGTGAACTGTCCTGGTTGCAAACCAAAGGGGGCCGACATGACTCAGGCTTGAATCCTTTGACGGCTGATGGTATTATTCCCCCTGTTCTCAGCATGAAGCTCCATCCCATTGCGGATATACTATTCAGAAGAATTTCCCTTTCATTTGGTCAGCGATCAGTTCTTCCTAGGCTTAGTTGCAAGGGGTGGGGTGGCTCGGGATGAAATGGAATGTAAAGATGCAGAGCAGTTCCTGACATTTGCTGACTTACCCCTTCAATTCTCCCCTCTACCTGCAGTGCCTTGGGGTGAAACAAAGGTATCTCTCAGTCTATTTGATATGAGGGAGGCCACAACTCTCACACAGAAGTTACTTTTCTATGTGGAGTACACGTGTCCCTCCAACTCTCATCCTGTCCTATCTTTCTTGGGTTCCCTGCCTAGTCGTCTTGTGTGCACTCTGCATATCAGGGACTGAATCCTCTTCTTCACAAGGCAGCCCATCAAACACCCCTCCCTACTCACATCCCCAGTGACATTTATAGAGACAGCTGCCCAAGCCTTATTCTTGCTTCACCCCCACAGTAACAGTTGGCTACCAGTCACTGCATTCTGCACACCCATGTGCCTCTGCTAGCTACTATTAATTATTATTTCTATTACAGTAGCACCCAGAGACTCCAATCGAGGCTCATGGACCATCATGCGACACAAATAAGTCCCCTGCCCCAGAATGCTCACAATCCGGGGTTATGTAAAGATACAACAGGTGGCTGAAAGAGACAAATGCAGTGGGCTGCAAGGGAACGGAACACCAAGCACGTTATGCATAGAACCCAGCAGTTTTGGCTCGGGTGACCAAATGTCCCGATTGTATAGGAACAGTCCCAATATTCAGGGCTTTTTCTTATATAGGGACCTATTACCCCCCACCCCTCCCCGGGTCCTGATTTTTCACACTTGGTATCTGGTCACCCTCGTTTCAGCTCTCACTTAGATTTCACCAGCCTGGAAACTTAGTGGCCATAGGCATCTGACATGTAAAGCAAATAGCTACTCATAGAGTTAACAAATTAAAAATAACAAGTACTAGAGGTACTCTGAAGAAATGAAACCAGCTAGGTAAGTTTCCACAGTCAAATAATTCCTCCCTCCAATCCACCTCACTCACTTCTGGAAACCAAAAGCTTGAAACCAAAATCTGTTTTCCTTAATGAAATGCTTTTTGCTCCATGAACATTGGTTAGTTATTGTAAGATTGCTCCCGAGTGCAGACCTAGGACTTTTAACTGAAGTGCTCTTTAAAACTCCCCAGTGAATTACATTGACTTTGTAACAGATCCAAGAAGGGGTCAAACTTTGGGCTTTCCAGCCACGATAGAATCTTTGTAACTCAAAGAGGGGGTCGTAATCAGCAATGTGGTAGAGAGGAAATGATGCAAGACCGATGAGCACCACAAGAGGATGGGAAGGCAGTACTGTGTAGAGCCTTCTTACTCTCTTGGAGGAAGGGTGCTATTTGATTTCCACATGGCGTCATTCCATTGGACTCAGACTCCCTTAATGGGATTTGGCAACAAGAGGGAAGAGAAAAACCTGTGTAGTTAAGCCAAAAATGTTATTATAACCACAAACTTCTGCTGGGTATGTGCCATCCCATCAAATACAACAAAGATCCCACCTAGACAATGCAAGTTGTGTGCATAAATTGGGTGCAGCAGAACAATTAGCACAAGACACAATAACCCCTTTGTGTCTGACAGTCGAGTACCTTGAGCCAAAATAATCCTGAAATGAAGTGAAGCCGGAATACGAGCCTGTACACCCATGACTAGGATTCTGTGGACTTCGCAAACCAGCAAGCCATACCTACCCATCTTCTAAGTAAGGCTATGGGTGGATAAGCAGTGCACAAAATCAATGCTGCTCATATGCCATTCCCCAAAGAGCATCACATGCAGCTTCAGAATAGAGGGAGGGGATTCACCCCACCGCAGCTTTAATGAGAGGGGGTGGAAGGGAGAGTGTAATAGACGCAGTCACCTAATTCACCAGGCCCATTAATTTCATCCCACCAATGCTGTTACTCCCGTATTAGAGATTTAAAAGGTTAGTCATGCACAGTGGAAACTAAATATGGCAAACTTGCTGTGATGGAATTCTTGTTATAATGAAGCTCAGTTATCCCAAAGGTCTCAGGGGACACCAAAATCTTTGGCTAAACAAGGGAGCAGGGTCGAGCAGACTCCGAAGTCTGCAACCCAGGTTTGTGAGCTCTGGAACACACACACTCAATCCTGCCCAGCCAACTCCCTTAAGGTCAACCAGCACCGCAGTGGGGGAAGGATACACCCCAAAACTGAGCAGACTGAGGGCGGGGGAACCCCTGACCAACTCGCCCAAGGTTACTGGGGGAGGCTATGCTCTGGATCCCCCTCTTCCAAGAGAGAAAATGAGCTGACTGGCTTCCCTTGCTTTGCCTGGCAGTGATGGGAGGCTGTGCTCACTGTGGAGAGGCACAAGCAGCCATTCTTTTCAGCCACCTTCCAACTCAGATGACCCAGTCCCCACTGAAGAGTCTGGTACAACCCCAGGGTGACAGAGACGAACTTCCGTTAGCTGGGGCCGCACTGCAGCTTGAACAGTGTAACCTTGTGCTTAAAGTGAAGTTGTCCTGGGGGTGGAGGGGACTGTCTCCACAATAAGAGGCTTCCACTGCGTAGTGGATTTAAACAATAAACATTCTGCACACAGATATAATTCTAACAGGTTTAAGTCCTATCGCTGGGCATTAGTTTAATTGGGCTGCGTTATTATGTCCTCTATCGTTCCCCTGACAGCAGGTCCTCTCTGTATATTAGATCCTCCCACCCAATCTCCTCGCCTCTGTACGAGCTCAGTGCCAGATGCTCTTTTCAGGGGAAGGGGGCGGGGGGGGGGGAGATTATTCCGTCTGGAATTGGATTTGCCCAGGTTTAGGTGGAAACAAAGTAGTGCCATGCATGAGGGGGCAGGAGATCACTTCAGTTCACCAGCTGGTATTTCCTACAGGGGTTTCCTTCTACCTGAAGAGCTAAACTGTGGCTGACACTTTGCCCTTCTTCAAAGGATCAACAGCGAGTGGGCACAAGGAGTCGTGACTAATTCCTACTGCAGCCCAGTTTCCAGTGCTTCTGCTCGTACTAGAGCCTTGTAATCACAAAAGCTTTGGTGAGCGAAGCCTGCCATGTCAGAATGACTCTGTCTCTCTCCCCATGTTGAAACTAGCATGCTCTGGTGGGAGCCAACTGCTAAATTCTGACAACTGACTTTCTTTCTTTCTTTCTTTCTTTCTTTTTTTTTTTTTTGTGGTACAATCTTGTGAGTGGGAGAGCCTCTCCATAACCGCTTCCCTTCTGATGAGCTCTGGATGGAGCCCTGGAGATGCCACACCTTCCCACTTCCTGCAGCAGCCTCCAGAGGCCAACATCTGGAATAAAATGGAGAGCTAAAGCAGATTGTACTGCTGTTCACAAAAGCCCGCACAGATGGAATGTCTCAGCCTGCAAGGGGGAGGTAAACTCGGAGGTCTAAGCTAACTAGATGAGCTACAAAGCATCACTTCCATACCCTGAAACTAAGAGGAGTATAAATCTGAAGGTCAGGTTCTCAAGGGAGATTGGTAGTTTCCTGTCGTTTGTTCTAAGGACTTGTTCTTTGAAGGACTGTACTCTACACTTACCCTGTGCAGTTACGTTGCTCCATGCTTCCTGTTTGGCACACATCTGTCCCAAGAGTATTGTTACAATTAACAAGATGGCATAGTGGAGGCCAGGTAAAAATTTCCAACTCTCTCCAGGTTACCATGTCATCAACATTCAAACTCTCAGCACTTCTGCTGAATTTGGGAAGCGGAGGGACAGATGAAGAGCAGGGGGAAGGGGAAAAGGCTTGGAACCAGTAACAGTCCTGGATGAAACTTTGCCCCTTGGACACGCTGAACTTGACAAAAGGTTTTTATTTCAGAAATTACAGCCCATAACTGCCAGTTTATCTCTATTTGTGGATGTGCTGGAGAAATCCCTGTAACTGGATAGGCAAGAGGAAAATGGCTACAAAAGCTCAGGAAGGAACTGGAGAGTGATCTCTTGTATTTGCCTATGATATACTGTATCTCCACATTGAAAGACAAGACCCAGGGAGCTAACAGACATCCCCATACTGCCACCATCCAAAATGCCAGGCACAAGGCATACCAGGAGGGAAGAGTGTTAGGGCAGAATCCACTGCAAACTGAGAGCAAAGAGAGATCTGGAAGGTTCAAATATTAACTCTCATTCAATCCGAGCTCCTGCTCTACCATTAGGAGGGCTAGCTTCAGAGGTGACGGTGGAGACCTTGGTGTGTGGCACTATGGGCAGTGATACAGGTTTATGTCGTATAAGGACTTTCAGGCAAACTGCATCCTGAAACACTTTACATAGTTAAACAATATGTTATGGCACAGGGAAAGGGAAATTAACAGGTACAGACAAAGAGAATATATACTCATATGAGACACAAAAATCAGATGGGGAGGAAATGTCCAAAAACACTGTTCAAGCCATCAGGAGACGCAGAGAAGAAGGCCCTTGCGCCAGCAGAGAAGAAACCAGTGCTAGATAGGTGGATGGAGCAAGTAAGGAAGTGAGGGAGTCAGCATCTCTGCGATCCGATAGAGAAAGTCAACGAGGGATTTACAAACCAAAAAAAGGGTAATTTTGAACTGGATCTTGAAATAAACAGGGATCCAGTGGATTTGCCTGAGGCTGGGGGTTGTATTTCTTTGCAGAGAGCAGCATTCAACACATGATGTCTGGATCACTAGAACTTGGGAAGACCACAGAAGAGTGAAAAGGAGTCAAAAGCCCTGATTAGGGTTTCAACATTGCCGTTCTTTAAGAAGGTCCCTTGCTTAAATTTTGCACTGCCAGTTTGAAGCAGAAAGCTGCCGTTCTGCAGCACCACAGAACGACGCCATCCTTTAAATAAAAGATTACAGTTCATCAATATTGGGAAGTGGCAGAGTAAACCCTCCGTCTCAAGGGGAAACTTCATGCCACAAAAAGTATCTTTGGCACCTTAATACAAGTAACCCACGCAACCGAAGGAATTAGCAGTGGTGGGTGTCCCACAGAGGAAGGATCAGGAATGTTAGTCTGTACAGGGGATTAGTTCACCAATGCAGTTATAATTATAAAGCCAATGTCTCTGTCACACTAGCGATCAGGACGCTTCTTTTAAAGCAGGTACACAGGTTAATTCAGGGATTGCTACTGTGAGCACTACAGCTTTCACAGGACAAGGACCATCTGCTTAGGCAGGGAAAATACCACAGCCAGCTGCAAGAAACAGCACTTGGGAAAGGACTTTCAAATTCATCAGAATACAAAATGCTTTTTTAATTTTCTTTTAAAGCAAATGCTGTGCAGTACAAATTAATTCATGCCTGAGTACTAAGCATCTCAGCCTCCTCTGATAAGCTTTCCTTTGGAAACAGTTATATTCAGCGATCTGAACCACTCCCCCTCCTCCATCTGCTCAGAAAGGATGAACAAACAAGCCATTGCTGAAAGAAGGAAGGAAGGAAGCATGTTCAGTCATCTCCTAGGAAAACCGTGCCAGAACGAAAGAGCCCCCTCCCTTAACAAACAGATCCTGAGACCAAAATACTGCATGTAGCTGGGACTCCCCCTCACCCACAGCACAAGGATGTGATGGTCAAACACAGCAACAGGTTCTGCTCACTCACATTCCCCTCGCACATACACACACAAAAATGGGACGAGTCAAAGTGCTGGCTTGACTCATCAGCCACATGATCACAGACTGGATCTAAAAAGGGGGAATTGGTTTACTCACTGTCTTGGGTACAATCTGTTTCTTGGGCTGCCCAATCTTGAACGGAATCCTGGAAAAGGAAGGAGGGAGAGATAAGGAATATGTAAGCGAACAAGAATAGCTGGCCTCACATGCGACAATGTCAAAAAACATGTTCCCCAAGCTCTTTCGTAGAGAAGGATTTTTGGATGCAAGCTTCAGTGGAATAACATCCCAGATCCTGGTACAACATTCAAGATAAAGTATATCTCCCTTTGGAGTCAGCTTCAGCTCCGGCATCTGTGATCTTCCCAAACAGCAGTGCCAGCTGGGTCTCCAGCAGCGAAATCCCCCTTTTTCCTCCAGTGTCCTATTAATACAACTAAGGGCTCTAGATGTCCAAGGCACTCCTTGGCAGAACAAGGGTCTGAAGGTTGTGCAAAATTTCAAAAAAAATCTGAAAGGGGAGGTGGGGGTGGGAAGGAAGGAATCAAACACTACAAATATTTACAAAGAGAACCTTAAATGGGGCAGGGGGAGAACGACCCTCAAAAACCACCACCCAAGAGTCTGGAGTTTTGACCTGCTTCAAAGGATTTTTCTAACCACAGCTGCAGGGATGGCTCACCTGCCAGCTGAACAGCCTTCATTCGTAAAAACCTTAATATGGTTGTGAGTACAAGCTGGATGAGCTATTCCCCCCCGCCCCCCTCACATAAGCTAGTTGGAAGGTGAGAGTGCTCACTACGTATCCATTTTTGGCTTGGTCAGATTGTTGTAGTCATAATCATAAAGCAATGAAAATAATTAAGTTTCTTTCCCCCCTTGATAACCAAAGTAATAAAAACACAATAATTCAGCCATTGCTTTCAATGTATTAGACTAATTTATGTTGTCTGGTTAAAATTCATGGTCCATAACGCTCCCAGTTTATACTAAACCCAGTTTACAGCATATTCTGCTGATGTAGCTAAGGGGAAAATTCCGTTATGTCTTTTAAAAATAGGAATAGCCTTATCCAGGAATTTCCAAACTAGAACAGACCAATGGTTCATCTAGTATGGTATCTTGTCTCAAACAATGTTCTGTACCAGATGCAAAACAGAAGGTGCAGAAGTCCCCTAATGGTCCTGTGCAAATAGTAGCCTTTCTCACATTTTTTACTAAAATTGATTTTAAAAATCTAATTTAGTTTATATTATTGAGTCTCTTATCCGGTTCATTTTTGTCAGTATTGCAGAGTGAAAATGGTTAGTCAGTTTCACTACGGTGTCTAATCAGTTTCACTTACACAGGTTCCCATGCAGGGTTGCAAAGGTTGTTGAGGAAAGTTTTAATTCAAACAACTACATTGATTTCCAATGATTATTTTTAACCCTGAAAACATTTTTATTACCCTATCGGTTTTGTAAAATCTCTTATATACAACAACTAACTTTTAGGATTAAACTACCAGTTAGAGACTTCTCTCTGCAGGCACCACTCCACAAACACCATACCATATGACATGGTGACAACACTTAATATGGGAATGACAGCAAAAACAAGATCATCCAATGACCCAATTCCCCCTTTGCTTCATTTCGGCCAACCATAGTCAAACCAATGGTATAATTAGTAACCAGTAATAACCTAGACTGCAATCCATACCTCCTGAACTGACCAAGGAGTAAAAGTCAACATTAGTCACAAATGTTTAAATTTAATTTCTGGAGTACTTCCTGTTTATTGTTCTCCAGCATGGCTGATGTAATTTTAGGCTATTAACCCCTTCCAGTTCCACTGGCAGTCACAGCAACCATGAATCACACTTCTTCTATAAACAAACAATTGTCTAGCATATAATTAAACTGTCAATAACTACTTGTGGTGCCTTACAGGAAGGAATAGGAAATTAAAGATTTTTCTTTTTCGACACGGGTAAAAAGTCAATAAAAATGGGGCAACTCCCTTATTACCCTCTGGGCACTGGTCATACTATTGGAGTCAGTATAACCAGGTGCTATCTTTCATTAGAGCTAGTCATCTGTGACAGTGTAAAAGGTATTCTGATGGGATCATTAGAAATCTGCATCAGTAACTGCCCTCAGGTAGAGGCCAGGAACAAAACTGGAGAACTGAGGGGGAGCAGTGGCATGGAGAAGAGGAAAACTAGGACCAAATACAGCTTCCGGTGTAAACAGATGCAGCACCGTGGCTGAATTTGGACCTGCTGTGCCCAGCCTGAGACTGGCTGATAATATCTTGCAGCAGGCACTGCTGGGAGTTCCTATAGAAACGTAACACTGGAAGATGGAGATTGCTGGCAGTAAGTGAAAGAAGCATGTATAAGTCAAAGCGTAATCATTTGATCTCCTGTGAAATATACAACAAGCAGCTACTAGAGTGGCACCCTGAGGTCCCATGCATCACTGACACTATGCTGAAGTAATCAGCTAGCAAACACGCACCTTTAAAGACTTTGCCCTTCTACATGACGTTATAACAGAGAATCTCTGAGTGCTTACAAACTGAATCTTTATCTCCGTTTTACAGATGGAGGACACTGATGCACAGAGAAATGAAGTGATTTACCAAAGGTCACAAAGTGAATCAATGGCAGACAGGAACAGAACTCAGGAATCCTTATTCCCAGTCCCCTGCCCTAAGCACTTAAAGGCCATGAGTAGAGATGTGGCATTTAAATAGAGATATTATGGTGAGTGGTGTTGTATCGATAAGAGGAGGTGGGGGAAATTCCACCAATGGCACCCCATTTTAATGCATTATTTACTATTCATGTTGCACCATGAATCGCACAGTGCATTACAGAAGAGAGAGAGAGGGACATGGTCCCTGCCCCAGAAACTTTACAGTCCCAGCCAAAGAACAGTTAACACTGTGCACGATTAGGGATAATTGTTTCTCTGTTGCTAATGATTAATCTTAGTTAACAAAGAAACAAACACAGAAATTAAATACAGGCCCCTTACAAAGGCTCTGAACCACCACCAGCCAGAGAGGACCATTCAAACAGAGATGCCTCCAGAAAATTAATCTGCAACAGACAGAGTGGCTGGCTGCAAAACACAAGGAGCATCAGTGAAGATAGCTGGAGTTGTGTGAGTCTCTAAACATTTGGTTGCAGCGGTTTTGGAGCTATGCTGGTCCCAGGATACGAGAGAGACAAAGTGGCTTAGGTACAGAGTTGCCAACTTTGGTTGGATGAATTCCTGGAGATTCATCACATGACATTATCTTTAATTAAAGATGAATCTTTAATTCCTGGAGGGCTGGCAACCCTAGTTAGGTAATATCTTTTATTGGACCAACTTCTGGAGGTGGAAGGTACAAGATTTCGAGCTCCTTTCCCCAAAGCTGAAGAAGAGCTCAGCGGAGCTCGAAAGCTTGCACCTTCCACCAACAGAAGTTGGTCCAATAACAGACATTGTCTTGCTTGCCTTGTATTACTAAAACATGACTTTTCACCATTTACTTAATCAGACTTCTTTACCCAATACAGCTTTGCACTCTCATGAAGTATGGGGGCTTCCGAAGAAAAGGCAGCCGCTCTGGAAAATGTGTGGGGCACGGGGACAAACCCAACTGTCAGTCTTCATTAAAGAGCATGACAAAACTAAATAAACTCTAGTAAAACAGGGACACTGGAAACTGACCAGATTAAATAACAAGTCATACTAGAAGGCCTGGATCCTAGTGTTCCAAGTCAACCAAGACCAGCAGCTGAGGGTGCAGGCAACTGGTAGTTTATGTAACAACTAATTGCAAGACGGAAGGGGATGGAGGAATCCGGCTTCAGACCAAGGGAGTATTTCAGGTCTTCTACAGCACCTGAGTAGCCTGGTTGAGCTTAAATTGTCTCTCTCCTTCCTCCTACCTTTAACCTGAGCTGACATAGTCTGCTTTAGCACTTGCGTTTCTTCTCGAGCCGAACTAGGATAAAACAAGAAGCTCAGGTCAATTAATGGATAATGGGATCAGCCCATCCTGTTTCAGATGGCTCACTTTTCTTTAAACTACTCATTACATTTATGCAATGAAGGGCAGTGCGGGATGTGAGCTACAAGATATTTCAACTCCATCTCAGTTGGGAAGGAAAAGGTTTTCACATCCAAAAAGTTCGGCGTACAAGGAAGAAACGAAGACTATTTTCTTTCATAGCAAAAGAAAGTCAACAGGATGTTCAACAAAGCTACAAATACACTTTGAAACAGCAAATATCTCTATCAGCACCATGATGCCAGTTGGTAATTATGTCTGTCTCAGTAAAACCTTTTTAAAAAACCCTGTTCATATAACTATTTTTTTTAAAATGCTATTTTATATTTTGAGACAATTTTCCTGCTTTAATATGGCTCAGTAAAAAAGCAACACAAGAAAGAAGAACAGAAAGAATAAAGCAATGAAGTAGTAAGACGATCAGAACCACTGATCTTAGCTGAGATTTTAAAATAAATTGACACACCCGCAGCTTTGAAATGCAGTTGCAAGAAGCTGCTGGCGGCAGAAAGAGATGTGCTCCAACAATCTGAGCACAAGCCCGAGAACCAATAACTCCTCCTGGGTTCTAATCCCAGTTCGGACATTCTATTGCTGTGATGCCTTGGGCCAATCATTTCACTACTGTGTGTCTCAGTTTCCCCGTCTGTGAAATGGGGATAATATTATTACCTGATACAGGGGGGATGCACAAATTAGCAGCTGTCAGAGTGCGCTGTAAGATGAAGAACTCCAGGTATTATTAGTCCGCCTGGATACCACAGCGATGAGCATATCAGAAATAGATCAGGTTGACATACGGCTCCACATCTTTTACTATGTGTTACAGAGCCTCCTCCTGGTGTGCCAGAGCCGCAAATGCTACCCTGAAAACCTGAGCACGTTTCCACACAGCCTAGAGGAGAAACTGGACTTGCGTGTGTTTCGGTTCTATTATTTCTGCTGAGCGAGAGAAAGCTGGGGTTGTGTTTGGGGTGTGAAATCCCTTGAAATCATGTTCATAAACAGTGTGGGCACGCTGAGTCAGTCGGAGCTTTCCCACTCTGAAGAGCTCTCTGGTCAGATACAGCCATTTAACTCAGCAAGCCACAG